GATTCCGAATCAAAATCCGAGAGTCTTAAGGTGGGAAAGTTCGCTCACAGCTGCGACAAGTGAAAGTGTCCTAAATGCGGACCTCAGACTGTGCGAAAAGCTTTCCCTTGGCTGGCTGTTGGGCATGGAGGATTTTTGAAAAATCTTCGAAGTTTTAAAAATTTGTTGATAACTTTTAATATTAATATTTGAATATATACAAAATGTTTGAAACTTTAAATCAAATATTGGGATTATAGAACCGGCTTTTGAAAAATCATTCACTGTTTTACCAAGTATGTTAGTAGCACAGTTTTTAGCCCCAAGACCGTTTGTTGGGCGCAACATAAGAACGTTTTTTGAAATATGAACATTCGAAACTTCAAACTTTACTTTTCAGTCCTCTTTTAGATGGAACTTGATATAACCCATGGTACTTCAAGCATCAGTGTCTATCAAATGAGCAAGCAGTTTAAAAAAAGGACAACTTTAGGAAAGGAACTCGGAAAACTTGTTCAATAAAATGTTCAAAAAAATAAATAACTCGTATAACACACACATAAATCATTAAAACCAAACAACACCACACACCCCACACAATGACTGTTCAATTTTTAGAAAAACACTTCCTGGGAAATCGGTTCGAGACCAACCGCTTCAAAACTCAATCGAACTGAACAGAACTGAAGTGAAGCAACAACTGAACGAACCGAGCGTTTTCAAAATCGCGAAAAGCCAGCGTATAACGGATATTCAGTCAGCTGAGAGCCGCTTCAAAAGAGAGGGAGAGAGAGAGAAAAGCTGTGGCATCCTGAGCTTTCAAGGCTGAGAATGGCAAAAAGGAAGTTCAGTGCATACGAAAATAAAATACTTGACACAAAGAATTGCAAGGAACTAGCCAAAAGGAAAAAACAAGAACAGGAAAAAATAATTTTCGGAAAATCTAAAGCTTTTCCCGCTCTCCGGGCGCCTGCGCGAAAGAGAGAGCATAAGCGGGAGAGAGTTAGAGTGAAAGAGAGAAATAGTGGCCTGCTTATGTTTCACACGTTATGCTCCTTATGTTCATGTTGTTGCTTTTGTTTGTCGGTATCCTTCCAAGAAGTCCATCTATTTTTAGTCATTTGTTACTATATTCTTTTATCATACTGTTATAAATTTCTAAAGAAATACTTATCTCGATTAAAAAAATTGCAATATTTATTGATAAACATAAAAAGAGATATGAATAAGAAATAATTTAAACGACATTTAATTGGAAAATCAATTCAAAAGCAACTACAAAATTGCATTGCAAGCCTTTAATTGCCACATAAGTTTTTTGTTCTTTTGTTTTTGCTGGCAATTTGGTTTTGCTATGCACTGAAAGGGTATTCTTGGGTTACCCTACAGGAAGTATCCTTTTTGGGCGCCGTTGGTGTTGTTGCTGGCGCTTCTGTGGCCATTGTTGCACACCTGAGACTTAGCGAGGACATCGCCGAGGACGAGGACGCTTTCGTGGCTTCTCGCTCCTGGCTGTTCTCGTGTGCCAGCTGATTTGTATTTAAGATTTGTATTTATTTATTAGGCAGCAGACTACTCTTTCTATTTTTTGTAAAATCCTATAAAAATAAAAGCAAATGCAAAATACATTCCAGTACTCCATCCAGATGGCCGGAAAAGTGCATGATATAGACAGGATATCAAATGTCATGATGTCATTTGGAGTATTCCTATAGAATGTCCTTTTAGACATTCTAGACTAGAATAGCCCCCCTTTACTGAGAATATGGTAATAAACTACTTTTTAATTTTATTGAAATCAAACTATCTTATTACAACTATGAAATGGTTGAAAACTTCGTGTTGCCTGCTTTGTTTTTATCTTGATGTGCATTCAATGGCTATAATATTTTCCCCATTGCTACTCATCGTGAGCCTGATATTTACCTTATTCGCCACAGGCCAGCAACGACAGCTAAAATAACAGCAACAGCCAAGGCAGGAAAATGGAAAATAACGAAGGGAAAAAGCTGGAGAAACACTAGGCATGGCAAAGGAAAGGAACGCACTTAGAAATGATAGCCCAGCTTTATGCTAATGTTTGCCATTGCTTTAAGTACTTATTCAGCTGGCGAGCTAGTCAGTTGGTTACTCAGTCAGTTAGTCAGTCAGTCAGCTAGCCAGTCAATCAGTCAGTGAGTTTGGTCAGTCATTTGGGTCATTTTTTTGGCATGCAGATCCGGGTCTTTTTTGTGTTTCTTTTTTTTTTTTGGGAGGGGGTCGGCTTTACATTCGAATAATAATAAAACAGCTTTCATCGGAAATTGGTGAGCCCACACATGTCCAGGTTTTCCGGGTATTTCTTTATGTTCTTGTGTCCATTTTATCAATTTTATCAATTCAACTTAATGGTTAATAAACCAGCAATAATATGGACCTTCGAATCGCTTGGCAACATTTAGTATCGAGTTTCGAGGTTCCTCTTGGAATAAATCAATCAAAGGCAAGGTAAATTAATTGAGATTTTGTTTAAATCGCCATCGAAGATTTTCCATTGTTTTCGCAAGTTTTTCACATTAAATATGGCAAGTTGGTTTCGGTATTTTATACATTGGGCATAGCTACCCTGTACTATTCACCAATGATATCTGTTTATTGCTTATAAAGCCAATGATCTCAACACTCGTGCACTCTATAAAAGGCGTTAATAGTCAAACCCCATGAAAATGAGTGTTATTCGGCAATAAGGCTGCGGCAATTCACATAAGAAAATTGTGATCCCGCCGTAAACTTGGTCTTCGTGTTAATTACATGAAGTCAAGCATGCCACCATTTCCATTTCCATTTCCATCTCCATTCCCCCGAACGCCCCAATTTCCCATTTTCCATCTCAACCCCCCATCCCCACCACCCAAATTTGGAGCCCTCGTGACAAAACCTAACGACAGAAATCGACAGCCATTGCGCGACCCAACATGCAAATCAAATTATTTTGGCATATAAAACGCTTATTAACAGATTATATGCTCACTCAATATTAACTGACTGACTGACTCGCTTGAAGGTAGTCTCTTTCCCTCCGCGCCAAATACATTTATATTATTTGGGAAAGTGGGCGGCGTTCTGCCTTTGTTTTTCGTCTTGGATTTTAATACCCTTTGATGGTATCGGAGGCGCAATGAGTGCTAAGCACTTTGGCACTCGCTTATTTATATTTATGGCCGATAACAGCCGACAGTCGACAGTCGACACTTGGCCATCAGCAAACAGACAAACGGATTTCAATACTTGTCGGCGTCTTGTCTTTATCTATGTATATCTGAACGATAGCGGCAATAGGGTGTCGCTGGTCTTGGACGATTAAATAATGTATTCAAGGTATTGGAAATATTAAAAAAAAATATACACATGTTTATTTGCGCAGGGCTTGCAACGAGTATTTCAATTGGATTATGCAGATTACTTGGTGGTCTTCAGTTAAATACCAAAAAGAAAACACTATCAATTTAAAAGTATTATTTTTAGTTAGCTGATTGAACATTTATATACATTGGCATGCTTTTTTTGCATTTTATTCTTTGTATTTATGTCTAGCAGTGATTTTGTATTCACTTGTAATTAAATTTTAAATTAGATATTTAATTTCTACATCGTTTCACGCGGATTCTTTAGTATTTCCTTGAATATCTTCCAGCATCAACTTAGCTTGCTGTTTCCTTGTGTCATCGTCGTTTTATTTAGTTTATTTAGAAAGCGTGTTTACCGTCTTGCGAACTTTTTCATCACATTTACTCAAGGCCCCCCATTCAGGTGTATTATTCAATAGTGTTCTTTGAAATCATCCTGACAACGGCTTGCAGTTGTTGTTTAGTTAAGAAAAGTATGACACCATTAAAGATTAAATTCATTATTTTTTGGCACGCACGAAAGGCTTCCTAGCAAACTATTAAAGCTATAAAACCTCTCTGTCTCTCGAAATAAATTGGATTCTTATGCCCAGTTGACGCTTGCTACTTGAATTTATAATTTAAGATAATCAGCCAATGCCAGTCAAATTTAAATTTGATGAATGAGGGGCTGGTTATACTAACAATAATAATAATAATAATAATAATTATAATAATATTAATAATGATAATAATTATAATCATTGGATATCCTGGTCCATCTTGTCCATCAGGCATTTCATTTGCAGACAGCCACGCAAAACAAACCTAATTACACTTTACTTTCACTTTCTCTGCCAGCAACAGGAGAAAGTCGAGGGGGTGAAAGCGGAAGAAAGGGCGGTGCTAGGGACTTTGGTGAGAAAAACTTCAAAAGCTTCTGGTCAAAGCAAAGTTTGCCCGCCTTGGCATATTTTGCGTAATATACATTTTGCTTGCCGGTCGATGTATAATATTCCTGACCTTTGCCCAATTTGAAGAGCCAATAAAACCATTTAAAGCGTTGTCACAGATTTATCTTAAATTTCTTCTTTTTTTTGGCAACCAAACAATGGGAGAATAAAGAAATGCAGATGACATTTATTGTTCATTTGACAACGTAATGAACATTCTTATATGCAAATAAGAGTGTGCGAGAAAGTGTTACAACGCGTTCTTCAAGCGCTTATTTGTTTGATTTATATTTAAATAATACATGGGCTGCCCGCCCTCTTCGCTTCGTTCGAGGCGCCCATAAGTAGGCAATGATTTTTGCCCAGCTGCCCAAGCACCACCCACTAGCCAGCCACCCACCAGAAGCCACCCCAAAAACGAAGGGCCGTAATGAGCGTGTCATTTAGCGTAATTTCACTTGATTGTTATGGCATTACAACAATGCCCCAAGTACAATACACACGCACAACAAAAGGCGGCGCGGAGTGTGCAAGTTTATCTTATCATCGCAGGCTCCGCTCTTGGAAAATTCCAGCATTTTTCGAGGGCGGAAAATGCGGGGTGCATATGCATAAATTATGAATGGCTAGGCCAAGGCATTTTGTTGATTTTGTAGCTTTTGGAAAACGCTTTGCTAATATATATTATGTGGCCAAAACTCACCTGCAGTACTGATAATTTCACAGGCTCGCCTGAAACATAAGAGAAAAGAACGCAAAGTTATTTATATTCATTTATTCAGTGAATAATCAGTGATCGATATTTATTAAAGCGATTCCTTGAACTTACTCAAACTGAAGCATGCGAAATGGATATTTAAAAAAGATCGCTTAAACTAAACATGAAAAAAATAACTTCTAAATTATTTATAAATACTCAGCGCCCAAGCGTAAAATAATTCATTGCCCATATTGTTTAAAAAGCAATTCACAAAAAACTTTCACTAAGTTATTGGTCAAGGTTCATGAATACATTTGCGCGATTGGCATATTTAATTTCTTCCAGGCAGGTTTCTCGTTTTCAAATATGCTCATGTTATATGTTAAATACGAGTACACAAACAAAAGGTAATGTGTTCGCCATGAAATGCGCATCCGCATATTTTATGCAGATATGCCATTTTGATTTAAATATAATAATCAATCAATGATAATGAGATATACTGAAGGAGATACTTGATATTTTTTTTATTTAAGATTGGTTTGATACTTTTTTCTCCTGGTGTAGAGTGGAGGAATTTTGTGCTTAATTCATATTGAAATATATGTGGCTCCATTATGATTGACTAATTTAGTTGAGTGTCTGCTGGTGCATCTGTGTGTCCATTCAGTTCGATGTTATATCGTATGTTAGCCAGTTGTTTTGTTTATTTTTCCAATTCGTTAATTTGCTGCTGCTGTTTCGCATTGTCACCAAATTAATTGGCTGCTCCCGGTGTCCTGCTCATGTCCTTCTTGCTGTTCGTCTCAGTGAGTATTCCAGAGGCAGAGCACACACAGCACACACACCATCGCACACACAGCACACACACCATCGCACACTCGGGCACTCTGGCACTCACACTCCCCCGTGTACACCGATAGGCGTACATGTGACCCGTATTAAGCCATCAATGGGATACAAGCAATTTCGTTTAATTAAAACATGCCAATACACACACAGTCTGCCGGCCGATGATTATGACGACGGGTACTTTGTGATGACTTTGGCTATGGCCAAAAAACAAAAAAGCAGCCAGCCCGATTGAGAACATATAGAACATATAGAAGAGTTGAGGAGGCCAGTGTGCCACATGCACACTCAAATTTTATGCACGATTTGCAGCAAATTGAGCATCCCTTAGCTTCCGAGAAAGCGAAAACAGGACCTCAGGCATCAAGTGAAATCGAAACTGAAGGGATAAATCGACAGTGACAGCTTTTTCACATTCTCATTACAGCACTACAAAAAATGACACCTTCCTATTCACTTTTTAATCTTTCCCATCAGTTTTTTAGCAGCAACAGGAGCTGTCTAAAAAGAAAGGTAAATAGCAAAAGGCACAAACCAATTTAAAAGTGTGGAATAGCAAACGCTCCAGCAACTAAACAGAAAACGGAAAAAAGAGCACACCCAGCCTGGTATTATGACAATTTAATCGAGCGGAAATAAAGTTCTTAAGCATCATAAACAAGATTTAATGTGACAAAAAGGCAAATCACAGTTGCCAGACGAAAAACGAAACGCGAAACGCATTTTGAGGGGGTGGCAGGAATATCAAATGGCATTTGCCCCAAAGGGCGCCAAAAAAAAACCATCCCTACCCCAAAAAAAAAAATAACCGTCCCTTTTTCGAGCCCCAACCTATCACGAAATGCCGCGGTCTAGTTACAACTTCAAGCGTTTCCCTTTGGATTATGAAACCGTAAAAGTCGCCGTAATCTTCATTGACTGGATTCCCTTACACAGGTATACACGTATACATGTACATGTGTATGTATGTATATGTACGTGCATGTGTATATACGTTTACATACGTATGCGTGGTTGTGCGAGAATATGTATGTTTGGCAAATACTTAACACATTCTACGCCTGCGAGGCAAGTTCTTTGTCAAATATGTATAAGTACATCAAATAAAAAGGGGTATATCACTTCAAATTAGACAGTAAAGACGCGGCAACCGTGAGGGTGAAATGTGATTCAGGATATTGTTTGTTATATTTCCAAATTGATCACGCGACTGAAACCCCTTGTCACTTTTGAAATATTTATTATACTACCCTGCCATTTACACTCTTTCAATGTTCTAGCACTCTTTTTAGTGAGAATAAATTATTTTTAAAAATGCTTAAATTTTCGGTACAATTTCGACATCATAAACTAAGTTTTTGCTTGCAACATAAGTATTATTAAAAACGGAATTAAAAATTAATTAATCTTAGCATCTTTACTTTTTTTGGCATTTTTATTTTTATATTGGTTTGACTAGTTCGTTAATTGTTTTCAATAATTTGTGTTTGCTGTCTTGCACACAAAAGCAGTGTTGTAAAATGCAATAAAGAGGTACAACCTATGCCTATTCGATTTACCATGTCTGCGCCCGAATTAGCCAAGTGTTTTGTGGTCGACACCTTTCCGGTTCATCCCAAATATTTGCGCTGCCAATGTCAATAAAGCGGAGAAGAAAACAAGAGGGCGGCAAAGAGAGCACGGGGAAAACTGCGGAAAATGTGGAAATTGTGCCAAGATGAATGCCTTGGATGGCCGACACGCTGGGCGTTTTGGCAATTAGAGCTACTCCGTTTTCCAGCTGGAATTTAAGCCCAATATTACAGGAAACCTACCGAAATTTTCGCCCAATATCAACCGGCAATTAATCAAAGGCAATCAAACGACGATTGCGAGAACATTACGCAATGTCTTGTCGCGGCGACAAGTAGCCATCTAAATAGTGTCATCAATAAATGTCCCACCCAACTCGGGCACTCCATCAAACGTGCTATCAACTATCAACGGTAGCAAAAAAAAAAACAAAAATTTATGTATATAAAAAAAAAATAAAAAAAAACGTGGACCGATATTGAGGGCGAAAATACTGGGCAAAAATAAGTAAACAAGACTTTAGAGTAAAGGAAAAGTGTAGACAGTGTCAATCACGTCAATTGTCAATCGGCTTATCGCAAATGCAATCAAATCGAAATCGAGCAAAATACAAAACTTAAGGCGGGGAGGTCTTATCGCCGATAAATCAATCAAATCAAATCAAAGTCAATGATGGCAAATAACAATTAAGCTCAAGTTGACTTAATGAGCTGGGAAAATAACGAAAAGCAAAGCGGCAAGCAGATGCTAAATCTAAAATATATAATTTACATTTATTTATACCTTTCTCTTTATTAAATCATATTAAGGTTGAAATCATTTTAAATACTAAATATTGTAATCGAGAATTCAATGAGTTGTCTATTTATCAATTCAAATTTTAGCATTGACCCTTGACGACGATCATTGTAAATATTATTTCACCTAGTAAAATTCCACAAAATTTGTGAAATACCAAAATGAATCAAATCTGATATCCACTAATGAACTATTGGCCCACTTTACATTCAATTTAAAATGCATAGATTAAATGCGTAGATTATATTTACTTGGAATTTTGCGAAGTAGAATGAATACGTTCAAGAGGTAAATTTGTTACACTTCTGAAATATATGCAATATTTATCAAAGAGCATTTCAATTAAATGCTCGGCCGGCGCAGAGGCAAATGCAAATTGATGTAGCATAATTAGAGATTGTAAATTAAATTGATGGCAATGCCGGACAATTAACAAGTCAGTTGAGTGATGTTGATTCAGCGCAAATCGTTTTGGGTGTAAAAATACACGACCCACTCCCCCCGCTTACACTCTCTCTAATCGATGGCAATTAGACGGGGTTGGCTTAAATCGCTTATTTGCATATGATTGATAGGCATCGATATGCGGGGGCGAAAAAGGGGAAGGTGCGGAAAATAAACCCATGGAGCTGAAAAAATGAAGACATTTACATGACAACATTGTTGCTCGTCACTGTCCCATTTGTCAGTGTGCCATGGAGTGTGTGAGTGTATGTGAGTGTGTGTAGGAGTGCGAGAGTGTGCCAGTGTGCGAGTGTATGTGTATGTGTCTGTGTATTTGCATTTGTACCGCTGACAGCGCCTAAGCGGCCATTTTATCATGTCTTCCATTCAACACACACTCACACTCACACACACACCGCTCACTCACACCCTCACATATGTGGCAGTTTTATATGACAAATGATTGGTGACACATCGTGTCTTTCCCTCCCGCTCCCAACTTTCTCCCATTCCAGCCCTTTTCCACATTTTCCATTTCCCCGGGCTGTTTATCACACGCCTTAAAACACACAACACAACAAACCAGCCGAGTTGCAGATTTAGGCCGAGTTGCAGATTTATCGGATTAGTGGCCAAATGGCAAGGATGAAAAGTTTAAATGTGTAGCAGGAAAAGGGGAAAAATTGTTAGATTACGCACCATTAATTATTGCCTTGTAGGTACAATAATTATATAAATGAAATAAAAGAAAAAGCCACTTAAACTAGAATAAATGCTCATCTTTTGGAGTAACTTCTTTAATTACCTTTATTCCTTTTTATCCATTGCAAATGCTATAACACCTTTGGCAATTAAAACTGCTTTTGAAACACAAATCGTGGTGACAAATCGAACCAGTTTATTTATTTGCCTTGGCATAAAAAAGAGAAAAAAGCCTTGGATGATTCTGACACATTAATAAACCGTATTTTATGAATCTCAAAAGAAATTGCAGTGCCACGCTGGAATCTGCACATATTCGATGTCATCTGAAGTCGGAAAAAAGTCGCTCAAAAGAAATCGCATTTCGAATATAACTTGAAATTTCTTTAGTTTCTCGCATCACTTGCAGCTCGCTTGCAACGAAAACAGGAAAACAGGGAAGATGCATGCGAAGGAAGCTTTTATTTTTCCATATCCTGTGCGAGCGACCACCTTTGACTTTTCTACCCCTCACCGTGCTTTTAATGTCACTTTGCCCGGACCAAATGAATGCCGCACTTCACCTATGGGTCACTTGCATTTTTATTTCACTTTTTCATTTTCACTTTCTGTCTGCTTCTTTTTTCTGAAATGATATCGCTGCACAGATACTGCTACTATTGCC